CCTACACCCATGCCACAGTCGACCCTCAGAAAAAGGACGTAAACTGCAGCTCCTGTTCAGGAGGTCAAGAGCTCCAGCGAAGGACCCGGACCCAAATCTCAGCGGCAATGCTGCTTGTCAACTGGCTAAACCCCACGCATCTTGCTGTGTCGTATGGCCTGAAAGCCCGACTCTGACCACACAAGGTGGCCTTTGATGCCTCCGGCGGGTGGAGGTAATGCTCCTGTGATGATGGTCTTGGTCAGGACGGCAGCTCCCAAAGTGCAACATGGGCCTGCCGCATACAAAGGGTAGGACTCTGAATCGTTCTGGCTGCAAACTCCGTCCTTCGTGGCGTGGGAATACCGGCGCCAGAGCAACTAAGCTGGGTGGAAGCGCTCCAGAATGAGGAGGGTGTGGCCCAAGCGATAAGAGAGGTGCTCAGATTCTAGCGGTATCCGAATCGGCTGCCCGTGTTGTTTCGGACAGACAGGTTTTGGTGCCTCGGGGATGAAGCTTGCCACACGATTAGTGGCTAGGTCTCGGGCCACCATGTTTGCAAACCGTTCGGATCAGCCCCAACTTGAGCTCTCGAACGGCAAGCTTGCTGCTTCTTGCCTTGGGTCTCACTCCCTCGCCTTGTTCAAGGTTCGCAGTCACAACACGCGGAAGCGGCAGCGAACACCAGCCGCAAGAGTCCAAAAGTCACCTGCTCCGGCTGCACCTCATGATTGGCTAAGGGATCCTATGGGAATCCGGGACAAGATATGAGAGAGCAGAAACCGCTTCTCAATGCTCTCCCGGCTTTGACACGAATCTCATGAAACCATGCGTCCCAGACACTTCCATCTTCGGCTCGCCCGTCTAAAGCAGGCTCTTTTCAGTCTCTCCCTATAAGGCTGCTTGCAAGCTTAGCTTGCTGCATGAAGTGCAAACTTGCGTGGTCTTTGTAGCTGTTGACTTCACCATTCGCGTCGCACTTTGCCACAGAAGCTTTGCAGCGTCGGCCGGCCCCTTTAGCCGTGGCAGCGTGCTAATAGTTCCGGGTGAGAGGGGAGTCGCCGGACTAGGAGCAGCACAGCACCGTTGAAACTCGCAGACGCGAGAAGCCCCCCAAAGCCCCACGTGAGGAGCACAGTCATCATCACGTAGCAGCGGGCCCTATGAATTCGAGACACAGGCTCGCAGCCGTGAAGCTTGATTCCCCCTCCCCCGGGCATGCCGAAGGCGCTTTTCGCATTGTTTCTGGCTTTTTCTGGGCTGCCGTTGGACTGGGGAAAACTTTCGCCTCTCACCGCATGGTTTGCTGACAAGAGCGAGGAACCTCTGCGCGGCTCAGCCCTGAGACGCCCTCAAACTCGAGACCCTGACAGACCTGAACTCTAGGACGGCAGGAGCACTAGAGCGCAGCCAGCTAGAGAGAGGGCTTCAGGAGCAGGGCCCCCTTAGGGCCAGGGCTGCTTAGGGCCTTCATGGCATTCTTTATGGAAGTCACTTCGAGGACTGGCCAGCGGCTGTCGGACGGACAATCTCTAACGCTGAGACCAGCGCACCTGTGGCCAGGACCATGGCAGCCACACTCGAGCACACTTTGGAAAGACTATTTTTTGGTGCTGCTCTGTGGTCAGAACCTCCTCAGAAAACCGGGATTTTCTTCACTCTATGGCCTGCACTCGCGACTGGTCCGGTGAGTCGACAGCTTCGGGTTTATTGAGCCGGTGTGAACACAAAACATGCCGAGAACTCTCTTGGGCTCTTTTGTTCCCTTACCGGCTCCAGGTCTCGCTTTTCGCCAGCTCTTGCACGGAACTTCGAAGCCCTCTGCAAGAGAAGCTTAGGGACAAACTAGGTCTGCACTGCTGCTTGAAGTGGAGAGTGCGGGGTTCCTGAAGTTCGGCAGGGTCCTTTTCTGAAGACTCCCACTATTTCGGATTCGCGCAGGTCACTAAAGCCAAAAACCTTTGAGGGTCCAGAAGCCAGCCGGCTGTGGTCGCGACGAAGCATGGCCCAGGCCCTTCTCTTCTGAGAGTCTTGACACGCAACAACCCGGTCCAATCCCTCAAACCTTTTCGCTTGGTGCCTAGAATGGTCCTGCCCTTATGCATGTAGCTCCTTACGAAAACTTTTTAGCACTGCCAGCTGGAGCCAGCACTTCCCAAAACATCCTGAAAATCCCAGCATGACAAAGGCTCGATCAATGAAACACGCGGTCTAGGGGCATCTGGCGGGCCGACAAAGTGAGATAAACGGCGGACGCCTAGCTCGGATGAGATCTTGCTCGGATGCTTTCCGGCGCATGAGGTTAGCGAAGAGGCCACGATTCGAGAGGACACCTTTCCTTGACCACTTGTCTCGGCGTCTCTTTCTTTCGTTTATCTTCGGATCATCTTCGCCATGCCACGGGTATGCTGCCCCCATCCCTAGAGGTCAACCAGATGTGCCTTCTAGCATTCCGGCAGGGACAGCCACGAGTACATACACCTAGGCTCCCATCGCATTTTATGGAAAATACCCATGATTTAGGCAGGCCGCGGGAAATCCTGCCTTGCCAGAGGATGCGTTGTGGCAGCAACTAACTACAGCCCTGTGTAGGATGTACTGCAGCATGCACAGTTATTTGCCACAGCAACAAAGGGCTGAGCATGAGCTCGTGGATATCCCGAGCCTAACACGTGGTTGACATGATGGCATGTGGCGGCTGAGAAGAGCCCATGAGTTTGCCGGACATAAGCGGTGAAAGCCGAGAGGCAGCAGTAGTGAAAACAGCCCCCTCAACGCCCTGCCCTTTCGCTAACTGGCAGAAAGGCCGTTTTGCAAGACTCCTGGGTCGGAGGGCCTGATTCCTGGTTCTTGAACTGAAACGCGCAGTCGAAACCTTGCAGCTTGTGTCTCATCATCATCTGGGGATTCAAAGCCTCACAGAGCTCCTCCAACTGCGACCCCACACCTTTCTGCAACGACACCGGTGTGAGCCCCAAGCCTTGCATCCTCATCATGCCTAGGCCAAGAAGCATCACCGAAAACTACCACAACCCACCAGTGACAGAGTTTCTTTCCCCCTGTAAATAGGAGAGCTCTGCTAGTTGAGAGTGCTCCATGACTAGCTGACTAGCTCGCTGATGCTGCTTTTCTGGACGGCGGCTACGTGCAACTGCCATGTTCTTGCACCACTGGCGATCCCAGCTGCTGCACAGAGCAGGCCTTGAGGCAGAAGTAGGCCTGCGGAATCCCACCTACGTGCAAGCCGAGCCGGAAGCACGCGCAGCAAGCAGAGCCGTGCACAGCCTCAAGTGTGAGCACGTCCTGTGCAGGGCGGTCTGCCACTGCTTCCCACGTTAACGAAAGAACTCATGGAGCTGAAATGGCTTCAAGACTGGAAGCTGCTGGTGACGCACTGCGTCGACGAAGTCAACAAGCCAGGTTCCACAATCAGACTTAGGCCGCAGCTGCTGCGCATACCCCCGTTTCTCCCGTTTGCCAATCCCGTAATGCCTGGTGGTCTGCTTATGTGTGAATGCTCACAGAGGATTTGGAACCATCAGACAAAAGTCAGGAACCGTCAGAGCGCTCTCAGAGGCGGTGTCGAAATCTTCTCACACCTGAAAGCCGCTCCGAACTGTCGGATCTATTTCAAAGCGCACTGCCACATGTCCACGGCTTGGAGGATCAACTGGGTCCCGAGACTAGTGTGCAGGTTCTTGAGACCACTGGGAGAACCAAGACCCTGGGCGAAACAAACCGCGGGTTACCCTAACGGCCCTAACCCGAACGCCTCTGTGTGATCTTGAATCTTTCTTCGGATTGGCCGCAAATTGATGCAAAAGCCATGTCATGCCTCACTATGCACGCAGTGACCAACTATGGCCTATGCCCCCCCTAAAGTCCATTCTATGAAGTCGCCACTGGCAGCCCAGTCCGAGGCTGCTCATGAGCCATACATCCCAAAAGACTTAGCTTCAACAAGAAGCGCCGATCCCTGGGGACTTTGTGGGCGGTAGAAGAGTGCAGCTTTCCTGGAAACTCATGAATCCGGAGCGGCGTCTGGTGGCTTAGCCATCTAGCACGACAGGATGCCAAGGGCAAGGCCTGGCTGCCTGTGAAGAAGATGCTTGTCGGGCAAAGAATGCCACAATCAAGCGGGAATGTTGAAAGGCCTTAACTTACAAAGACTTGTCAAGAATTTTGCTAGAATCCAAAAGCGGTAACCCAGCCGGGACTTCGCGTGAAATCCCGGCCCTGCTTGCCAAACGCCTGGCAAGAATCAGCGAGAGCACAAAACCTATTCTCATCTTCACCGAACTAACATGCTCATCGGAACCTGAAACAGCTGCAGGAGGGACAGAACACACATCACATGGAGGTCAACCCTCGTACGGCCAGAATTTTTTGCCGCACGCGTGCGTGTCGTGTGCAGTTCTGCATACAATCGCGCCGACGTGCTCAAATGCTCGTTCCAACACTGTCCAGCCATGCATGATGAAGCAACACTCGCATGCGCAACCCCTGATCACCATACCCTCTTTCGTCGTCCGCTGCATAGCATTTTCGATGCGTGGTGCTGATAGCTCCCCACTTGTGCTGCTCAGTCCCGCTGCAAAAAGGAGACGAAGCTAAAGAAGGCTTCTCGACCTCAGCTCGGAGGCATGGAAAAGAGCCGAGTCAAGGCTTTCTACAAAGCACGCAGAGGCTCTGCATCTCCGGAACCTGGCACTGTGCGGCTCAGCAGCTCGGCCCTTTTTCTCGTCGTGCAGTAAGCCGGTGCGACCCGGGTTACTCCCTGTGCATCCGGCAGTGTTAAAAAGAAGGAGGCGGCTCCGTGTCTTCGGAGAGAAGGTCTCCATCTTGCGGCTCTACATGCAGTCACCAAGACACGCTTCAGGATCGGAGCCCGCCACCAAGGAAACATTCCTGATGCACTGTTCCTATCTAAATGGTATCTAAGAAGTTGCAGTTCAAGTCCCCGTGCAACTCATGGCTGTGCCATCGTGCATTCGGAGACACAGTATCGGGTTCAGAAACGCTTAGCGGGAGACAACCCGGAATCGAGATCCAATCATGCAAGGGTCAAGAGCGATTTTCCGAGAATTCGTCGTCAGGTCCATCAGACTCATCTTGTGGAAAGTTGAAGTTGCTGCGAAGGTTTCCGCACCCGTCTCTTTGGCCCACAATGCAAAGTCGAAGGTGATCACGTCGAAGTCCTCGGTTAGGCAGAAGCTGATCATGAAGGCGGGCTGGATCTGCTGTGCGATGCCTGCGGCACCAGTGCCCTCCTGCACTTCGCACTTCCTGGCATAGGGCCCAACCTTCGAGGCTGCGGAAATCTCCACGCTGATGTCGATGGAATTTCCGGCAAGGTTTTGCGCAGGAAGCGTGACACTGCCCAAGCCCGTGGCTTTCAGGGACTCGATTCCGCCAAGGATGCTGTTCGTGCTGTTGGAATATGCCACCTCTGCACATGGAGAATCTGGCTCCGCATTAAGCACTGGCATGCTACCCGAGCAGGGTGAGCGTTCACAAAATGAGCAGCGTTGCCTACATGGAAGGAGGGAGTAGGAGCTGGCAGACCAGCGATGCAAGAACGTGCAGCAATCGCTCCAGGATGGCAACCCAGACAAAAGCAACTACAAAGAAATGCCCAAACAGGCACAAGGAGAGTCTAGCAAGAGCACGAGATCGGGCAAATGCGCAAGATGCTGCCCTGTTTCTTCGGTGACACGGATAGAAGCCGTGCACTAGTCTGATAGTATATACATATAAGCCTCATATAGAACTCCTCTACATTAAACCCAGAAAGTGATTGAAAGAATCGCGCCTCCAAGGTGATGCTGAGGCCACCGGTCCTGTCGGGGCAAAGCTGATACACAGTGTCCCCCCCCGTGATCTCGGTCTCCATTTCTCCGAGGTAGCTCTGGATGCGGTTGTTCGACACGATGGCTTTCCAGTATGGAGACAAGTCGTCCTCGTCGAGGTTCCCCGCAGCAGCAAGCTCAATCATCTTCTGCGAATAGAACTTCAAATTCCCGGGCCACTCAGTGACGTAATCGTTTCTGGGCACCTGATCGAAGTCCTGAAGCCTAGTCTTAAGCCCGTTTCCAGAGTACGTAAATGACCCACATCAAATCCGGGCTTAAAGGGTACAAGAAGCAGTTGTTCGCCGTTTCCCGCGTGCGCTGCTATGTCGACCCACCCCAGCCACCCAAACTGGTCGGTTTAGGCCGAAAGTTTTCAGGTTTAAACGATGGCACACCCAACGTCAAGGCCATGGCTGCTTTGGCCTCTCTATGTGGCTTCGCAGGGACAACATGGGGCCGAGACCAGGAGGGGTTGCAAACGCCTCGATCGGCCTTTGCCTCGTCGTCGTTGCACCTAACCTGTCCGCCTGCAGGCCTCACTCCCGTCGAAGTTTCAATGCCGGCTTTTGCCCCAACATGCAGAAATCCATTTCAAACGCATGCACCCCAGCAGTCAGAAAGCCTTGTCAACATGCGGGTGGTTGAACGGAATCAGCAGTTATTATGCCGTTATGCCCACAGGCCTTGCCTTCGCAGAAGCCACCACGGGAAGCTTCTCAATCTCCTGCTTGGCAGAGTCTGCGATGGTCATGGAGGATGATAGACAGGAGGAAGATGACGATGATGATGGTGACGATGATGATGATGATAATGATCAGGATGGCGTGATGGTGGTGGTGGCGGTTTTGTTCGTGGCGGCGGTGGCAGTGGCGGTGGCGGTGGCGGTGGCGGTGGCGGTGGCGGTGGCGGTGGCGGTGGCGCTGCTGCTGCTGCTGCTGCTGCTGCTGCTGGCGGTGGCGGTGGTGGTGGCGGTGGCGGTGGCGGTGGCGGTGGCGGCGGCGGCGGCGGCGGCGGTGGTGGTGGTGGTGGGCTGTGGTGGTGGTGGGATGTGGTGGTGGGTGGTGGTGGCGGGTGGAGGTGGTGGCGGGTGGTGGTGGTGGCAAGTGGTGGTGGTGGGTGGTGGGTGGTGGGGATGGCGGTGAGGGCGGCGGTGGTGGTGTGCAGTGGCGGTAGCGGTGCTGGTCTGATGCTGGAGCTGGTGCCGGTGCTGGTGCTGGTGGCGGCTTTTGCGGCGTTTGCAGCGTTTGCGTGGTGGCGTATTCTGATGGTAGTCCTCATAACGCGTATATATGGTGGCGAATGAAAGGCGATGCCGGCAGCGAAGGCGACAGCAGAAGCTGCGACGGTGATGATGACATTGCTGATACTTGCTATGGTGGCACTGGTGGTCGTGGTCGCAGCACCTGGACTCGCATTTCCTCTTCAGTAGCCAACATTTTCGCAAGAACAATCGTTCAAAGGTGCTTTGCAATGCCTTCATCTGTGTTTCGATCGCTGCTACTGGTGCTGCTGCCGCAGCCGCCGCTGCTGCTGCTGGTGCTGCTGCGGTTGATGCTGGTCCGATGATGTGGCTATGCTTGTGGACCTGCTCATACAGCTGATTGGATCCCAGATGTTGCGGAGTAAGTGGGAACTGTTTTCGTATGGGGGAAAGAGGGGTGCCTTGTTTGGGGGATCCTTGTGACAGCCAAGTAAGTGTAAGGATCCCTCTTCAGTTGCTTTCGAAATGTCTTGGTGACCCGTCTCCTGGATGAGTGCTTGGTTCGCAGTGCCCGACATCTGTGCCACAATCGGGTCCACTTCGCCTGATGCAAAGGACTGCCGACATCAGTGAACCCTAAACCCCAAACTCCTGAACTCTTCGCGAAACTAGCTCCAAGAAGCTGGAACGCATGAAAGGGGTGAAGCCACCGAGCTGCTGCCACAATGTCACAACCCGAAGCCCGACGCTTAACACTCAGGGTTTACTGTTGCTCCGGGTTTAGGCTTGGGGGGGCGGGGTTCTGGTTTCTGGTGGGGCTAGGATTCAGCGCTTTCAAGTTCAGGGGTTTAGACGTGAGGGTTCTTTGCATTCCATGTTGCATGCCGCAGAGAGCTGGTTGACGTTGAACGCCTGCAGCGCCCCCTCGACATCCATCACGTCCACCGGAGTAAGCCTGGAAATCCCAGCAATTTCGGAGACAGCGCAAACGCTTGGGGTTTAGGATTTAAGGTTTGGGCGGTTTCGCCTCGGGTGAAGAGGACGGGGCTGATGAATCTCCTTGCTGTGAGCAGCTAGAGAAGACGAAAACCAGGATCCACAGACATCTCAGACTTCGAAACACAGACCACGCAGCTACGCCTGCCCTTGTGTCGGAGAGGAACTTGCTTGATGAGTTTGGCTGCCGGCGCAGGACTGCTTCTCTACAACCCCAAAACCCGACACCTCAAGCTGCAGAACCCGAAGGTCTATTCAAACTCGTTAACCCAAGTGCTGCTCAGGCACGACAGGTACTGCACCACGACGTGGTAGTCACCGGCAGCGGAACGAGCCTCGATTCCTCGCTTGCACAGCAAGGGTGTAGTTCTCCAACAGGGGGACAACTGGCCCCCGTTTTGCGGGCGATGATTTTTACATGTGTATTTGGGGCCCAAGGAGCGGTATGGCTGTCCAGCCTGAAAGCTTCCACTTGGATCGGTGTCGATGTCGAAGTAGTCCAACGTAATGTTATCTACCAGGCCATACTTTTCAAGCCATGTGCTCATTGGGTCGTTCATTGCGCCGCCCACCTTTGGAAGACAACCGTGGCGTGAATGCCGCTGCATGCAGAATTACGACAACTGCTGTAGGATCTTGGCTGTATCTCCCAACCCTCCAAGAGAGGAAGAGAACCAAAAAGAAGCGGTGCAGAAGCCAAAACCCAAGCCTTCCCAGAATTTGGATTCTTGCTTTGGGATTCCCGGCTTTAGCGCTAGTGTTTCGGGGTTTAAGGTTTAGGGCTTAGGGCCTTCGGGCTGCAAATCCCTAAGCCCGAGATCCCGGCGTCCATCCGCCATTGCCGGAGCACCTTGCCCTTCTCTTGCTTCAGGACGACGAGCCTGCGTTCACCGCCAGAGCTCCACAGATGCTTGCTCAAACTGGCTTCAACTCACAGGAGCGGATGGTAGTACACAGCAGGAGCAACAACAATAACACTAAAGAGAGCGTAGCAACACGAATACGGTATTGATCAGTAAGAGTAGATCAGTAGCAGCAAGGATGCAGACGAACTAGGAGAGAATACAAAGCATGGGCAAGAAAGCCTCGGTCGTATGAATGACTAGCGGCCCACCTCAAGCCAGTTGCTTGCGTAACCAACTTGCCCAGGGACATAGAGACTTCTTCCGCTGACAGCATGCAATGATGACCTGTTCCGTCCATGGCATCCACGAAAGCACGAGCAGCACCAGAGGTAATGTCAAGCTTTCGCTGAAGAGGGTGCATGTCAAAGGTCTTTGCTGCGACCCGGAGCCCAGGAAAGACCAAGACATCTTCGTCCCACTCGAGGTAATATGCACCCGAAGTTGCGTTGTGCGAGAAGCCTGCTTTGAGAAACGGCGTTTTGACGCCAAAGCTTTCCTTGGCGAATTGAGAGTAAAACTGCTCGGTCGAAACCTCGGGCTTCTTCAAGAGCTCTTTCACATGCATCTTGGCACGGTAGTTGAGCGGGATGTCCTGAAGCCATCATCTAAACTCGAGCTCACCGACAGACGACATGTTCACCCTGCAGCCCCAAAGCCAACCCCCTAAAAGCCAAGGCTTCTAAAACCATAATCACAGGCAGACACGCCAAAAAAAAAACAAAAAAGCCTCCCAAAACCCGAAGCAAGGCAGTCCTCCGGGTTGGGTAGAGGCACGCTCGTGCATTCCCACTCGACATCCTCCAAGAGAGTGAAGAAGCCTTCAAGGAAGCCTCGGCTCTTGAGGTTTGTTTGTAGGGTTACTATGGATGTGGGGGAGTTATTTATAAGGGAGTTATAGGGGTTCAGGGGTTCATGGCATGGTTTAGGGGTTCAGGGGTGTTTTTGGAGATTTTTTTGCAGCTTAGGATAGTTGCTTGGGGTTTTCCGGATTTCAGCAGCAGTACCTGCAAGACGCTCGCAGCGCCGGCACCAACAAGACAACAACGCATGCACAACAACGGCGATGACGACGACGACCACGACGGCTACTGTGTCGTGTTCTTGTTCGTCTACTTCTTCTGCCTGTGGTAATGTGATGGCGATAATGGTGGCGGTAGTGGTGGCGGTGGTGGTGGCGGTGGTGATGGTGGCGGCAGGGGTGGTGGTATTCTGATGGTAGCGCTCATGCTGACTACAAGTATGACGACGATTATGAAGATGGTGGTGCTGACAATGCTGGTGGAGGTTGTGACGAAGCTCACCTTGCGAGCCTTTGGCTGTCGTGGATCGTGTTCTTGCTCGTGCTAGTGTTGTTGCTGCTGCTGCTGCTGCTGCTGCTGCTGTCGTTGCCACTGCGGTTGTTGCTGCTTATATGGTTGCTCTGCTGTTGAACGGCTCCAGATTGTGTTGCTTTGTGAAGAGAAATTGCTGAATAGCTGCTGTCTGCTAGGCACTCTCTGGTCAGAGTTGCTGCTTCCGTGCGTTGTACGGACCGAGGAACCCTGCTGGAGGCGGCGACCCAAGGGGCCCTCCTCCTCAAGCAAGTGTCCCAGAACCTGTGCGGGATCTGGAGATTCCGGGTTTGCAAGACGGGGTCAAGCATGAGCCAACTCCTAGGGCCGGGAGCGCCTCGTCCACGTACTCTGTCAGCTGCTCGTCGGCAGACATGGTGGTGTCATCGATGGTCAGAACCCCACCCTAGGACGAGGCTCACAGGAGACAGCAGCCATGCCAGCACTACGCAAGGGCGTTAATCCTGCTTCTTTCCCAACCAACCCTGCAAGTGTAGGCAGCTCTTCGGCAAGCAAGACAGCTAAGGCACACCAACCATCACCAACACCGTCGCCGGCCCACCCTCACCACCACTACCACCACCACCACCACCACCGCCACTATCACCACCACCACCACAACTACCACCAATGCCTATGACAAACTTCATGCGGCAGGAGAAAGGAGCAACTGGGCTTGAGGACCAGCCTACTGCGATCTGTTCAGACTCTCTGGTGCCATCGTGATCCGGACTATGGCGACTTGGCTTGGCAGTTGACTACCTTCGTGTCCGTCAAGTCTCTATGAGTGCTGGCCCTAGTCCTTCAATCATGAATCGCAGACTCCAAGCTCATCCCCCCCAAAACTTCAGTACCCCTGTGTTTGGCGAAGCCCCAAGGCGGAGGCACCCCACCTCGGTGTGGAGTTGAACAACGGAGCCACACTTGCTCGAACGCATCTGGACCCGCTTCCTGAGAATCTGGATAGAGGGATAAGGGCGTCCACAACAGGAACGGTAGAATATCAAGAGCACTGAAAATGCTCTGATGATCGGCGAAGCCCATGTCAGCATGACACATACTTTTCAGAGTACAAGAGAGCTATAAGAACGATAGCAGACATGCCATACAGAAACTGATAACAGGTCGTGCCTGCATGTGTCCAAGCGAAAGCAAAAACAGAAGAGAACGAGAAGGAGAAACTGCTAGATATTCTTTCCAGAATGAAAACCATGTAAATAGATACATACACATTACATGTATATGAAAATTCGAAAACACATACCCGTAAGCTTGTGGCTGTGGTTGGGACGGTGATGTTGGGGCGTCAGATCATAGGGTACACTTATATATATATATATATATATATATATATAGAGCTTGAAATAGTAGGATCCTTGTCATATCGAACTCCTGGAGAAAAAACAACCCTTGCACTAACAAACCCTTGTGTGCGTTCACCTGGATGCAGTCGCCTCGGGTGCTTCATCGCCCGCATTGGAACTCCGGAGGATATGAAACCCCAAAGGATACCGAAACAGTTGGATCAGTACTACAAGCACCCCAACAAAAATAATAACAATCCAATCCCTAATTTCTAGAAACCCTCCGCAACGCCGAGATTCATGCTGACGACCTTAAGCTGCACGAAGTGTGGCTCAGCGCTCACGGTCACCTTTTGGGTTCGGGGTTTCGGGCTGGGTCGGTGAACTCTGAACCCCAGATCTAAGCATCCTCCCAACAAGGGGAGCGCCAACAAGACTCTTCCTCATTCTGATCACAGGCAAGCCAAAAAAAATGGAATAGCCGAAACAAGACAGCAATACGAATGTTGACGGTCGTACGAAGCATACCCGATAAGAATGCCACTAAGATTGGCTAGCGGCTATCAGTATATAACAAGAAGGACCACCATGACCAACAGTGGCAAACAGGAAAGGGCACCAGGACGGATAGTATTCCATGACATGAGTGAGTCAGACTCTCAACTTTAAGAAAAGTCGAGAAGCCATGTCCAGGTTCTTGAAAACGTAGTCCGGCAGTGTGGAGGTCAACACCTTTCCCTGCTTGCTCTGAGCCACCTCTGAGAGCACACGGACGGGTTGGGCACCGGAGTTTTAAGCTACTTTTCGGCTTTAAGCCTAGTGTTTACAGCTTAGGGTTTGTGGACCGGGCATGCTATAGCCAAAAGCATGAAAGATGCAAGTGCAAACTGTTCGGACCTCTCATAATCGCCTGAGCCACTCCCTCAGCAAAGAAGTGCTCGCTGAGAGGGGCTTCGTTGTTGGGCGCTCTTCCCAGAAACCCGGGAACCAAAACTAACCTCAACAGCCCTGAAGCCCAACCAAAAAGGAAAGCAAGACAAATCCAAAAAAGAAAGAACAGCCTACTTAGTAGGAGTTGGGATGAGAGAAGAGACCCCTTTAACCTAGGAACTAGCTCAAGCAAGCCCATCAGTCGGGCCTGGAGGATTGGTGAACTGCTCTCCAGGCGGCGACAGGTGGTGTTTGCCTTAGCTGGGGGGTTGTGCAGAGCTCAGGCATTTTTGCGCCTTTTCCGTTGAGATTTGAAGGAACTTTCATGTCTATTTCTGGGGTGTAGGGGGTCGGGATCACTAAGGTTTTTTCTGCTTCACTGTTGTGCTTCCTGATTTAGGAAAATTTAGACCTCTTTTCTGTTTCTTGGGGTTTAATCGCCTTTTTTGTCTTTTCGGCTGAGGATTGTCTTCTGGGGTCGCAGAGCTTTCAAGTTTTTCTGTTGGGGGGTTGAGGGCGCTTAGATGCTTCTTTTGGTGGCCTGGGGTGGAACGCTTTTCCTTTGGCTTAGGGCGTAGTTTTTTGGTCTTGGCTTGCGGTTGCAGTGTGTGTGTTTGGCTCGGGGTGTCAAGGTTCTTGTTGCAGCTTCCGGGCTTGTCTGTTTTGGGTTTAGGGATGTTTAGGGTGATCGGTGTGTTGTTGGCTTGGGGTGTTTTGTGGTGCTTTCGGTGCTAAGTTGCTTTGGCTTGGGGCGTTGCAGCGTTTCAAAGCTGGCGGGCTTAGAGTTTGAGTGCCTTAGAACTCGAAGGTTGAGGATTTGCACTAGGGGTTGGGAACGCAGGGTCTAGGAGGTAGAACCAGGAATGCGTCAAAAATTCTAAAGGTCTCCTACAGAACCCTCGCAGAACCCCTTTTCTGGGAAGCCTCTCTAACGGAAACTCTTCTAGGCAAGGGGGCCGGGCAGGATGGTGTGACGCTGCCGCGGGTGACCACGGTGCCATCCGCTTGGACTTGGAAGGAGGAGCTGTCCACCTTCCCCATCGAGGGTGATGGAAGCGGGGGTTTAGGTTTTCGGCTAGGGTTGAGGTTTAGCAAAGCCTTTCGGTGTTCTTGCAACGGACGGGGGGGTAGGGTGTGGCGTGTAAGGGTTCAGCATTGNNGGGGGGGGGGGGGGGTTTTAGGGTTTCGGGCCAAGGCTGAGGTCTAGGAAGGCCTTTCTCTTTCGGTGTGGGCGGGCGTGTCAGGGTTCAGCATTTAGGGACCAGATGTTTAGGGGTCCTGCTGCAAGGGTTTAGTTTAGGCTTTTAGGTTCGGCATCGAGTTGAGACTCCTGCTCCTCCCACGAATTGAACAATCCCGCCGCAAGTTTACATCAGAGAAGAGACTTTAAAACGGCTAGGCGGATCAGGAGCAGAGAGGCAAGCGCCACCGAGGCTCAGCATCCTTTTGCTGACCGAGACTATGGATGATGGTTTAGGGTTTAGGGTTTAGGGATGATAGTCAGCCCCTTTGCCTTGACAGTCTCACCGTCGTTGTTCTTCATGACTCCATCCGATTGGCCACGCATCTCCTTTCATGAACTTACGCATTTGTCGCTTCCGACAGGAATCAGGCTTCCATGCAGGAACGGCCCGAAACACAAAGCTGAAGATTGAAACCTCGATCGCCTCCAATCCTAAATGCTTCTTCGAGCCCTTGTCGTTTTCAACACAAGGCGTTGCTTGTGGTCATCTGTTCCTTGTACCTGCCGTCGAGGTTGCTGAGCTTTTCTTCCATCAGTGTGTCTTGGATGAATGGTTACTTCCTCTTCTTGCGCTGACTTCTTCAAAATACCTTCGCAGTTGCGAGCTGCTGCTTGGGAACCGCAAAGCAATACTGTCAGAGAACATGTCTATAAAGAGCACCTTCTGGTTGGGCTTCTTGCTGAAGGCAGCTCGACTGGATCAACCCCTAAACCCTTCAAGGATGTGGGTTCAAACTCCTTGGACATGTCCACGGCCAGGTAGGACAAAATGAAGGTGCCAGTCAAGAGAAGGAGGATGACTGCCGCAAGGCCAAGAATGATCCTGACAGGCCGGATGCCAATCCTGACTACGTGCTTCCGGTTTGCAAACATCTGACGATTGAGTGGCTTCATGCTGCAATACAGCTAATGCATCAGGAGAGGACTCTAGTTGCAGCTACTCATGTGGCGCTCTCCAAGAATCTCCGAGACCAGGCGGCAACACCTAAATCTCAAACCCCAATCCCCCGCCGCTCAACGGCCTCTTCATGACGCGGCCCTCCTCCTTGACCTTCTTGTGTGCGTTAGCCGCTGCGGACAGCTCGACAACGCTCACGCTTCCACTCCGGTCCAAGTCCCACTCCTTCATCACATCCTCCAGACTTGAGGGCATCCGCTTGCTCGAAAAATTCGGGTTACGGTATCCGTGCTTCGAATTCAGTTGAAGGTATTCTTTCCATATGTGATTATATCATTAGGGTGTTAGGGTTAGCGTACGTGGGTTCAGGGCTTTGGGATGTCAGGCCCTACTAGACACTGAAGCCTAAATCCTACATCCAACAAAAGCCCTACGTACTAGACTGCCAAAGCCTACATCCGAAAACCAAAAAACACTGAACACAACACCCCATGACATGAGGGCTAGACCCTACACCCTAAACCCTGAAACCCAAACCTGCGTGGGCCTGAACGCAGGCCGGCATGTGAGTGTAAGAAACCTCATGGGAGTTCGCCTCCTTCTCCTGGCGTGCTTGGGTCCATTAAAGAAAACAGGCCAGTCAGATACCTCTGTAGGGCCATGAGGGAAATCAAACTCCGATGAAACAAGCTCGAAACCCCGCTTTAAGGGCACCGAAGCAAATCGGGAAAACTGCTATGAAACGCCCATGCCATGCAAAAGCCTATCAACACTGCACTATAACAACCCTTGCAGCAAAAGCACTCCCCGACCTGCCCCGAACCTTTTAAACCCCAGGCCCTTACAAGACTTATACAAGAAAATCATGGTAAAGAACCCGAAACGATACGTCACTTATGGCATCAACAAATCCTAGACTCCTAGACCCCCACCCCCAAACCTGAACCCCCAACCCCGAAACCCCTAAACCCCTGAACCCTATCATAAAAGCTTAAACCCTAAAACCCTCAACCCCAAACCCCAAACCCCTAAACCCCTAAACCCTACCATGAATAAGCCCTAAACCCTAAACCCTAAAACCCTCAACCCTAATCCCCAAACCCCGAACCCCTAAACCCTACCATAAACCCTAAACCCTAAACCCTAAAACCCCGGACCCTAAACCCCAAACCGCTAAACCCCCCCAAACCCCTAAACCCTACCATAAACCCTAAACCCTAAAACCACCAAACCCCACCGAGCTTCCTTCACGAGCTTCTGCAACAAACCAAGGCCCTTCTCGGCTTCGGCGTGGGACATGTGACCGTGAGAGCCGAAGACTGCCTTTCAGGGCTTTCGAAGCCGCTTTAGGACTTGGAGGTGAGGATTATTCAGGGTGCCTTTTCGTTGTCACGTGAAGGGCTTTATAAGGGCTTCAAAAACCCTAAAACCCCTAAACCCTAAAGCCCCTAAAAACACTAAAAAGCCTCAAAACCCTAAAAACCCTAAACC